TGATCAATCATAACCCTTAGTACTTGAATTAGAAAATACAATTCCTTACAAATTCTTGTATTTAATTCTTCAAAGATTAAAGTTACTACTTGATGACAAGTATCAACTAACACGAAATGTAAATTAAGGAATTCATTCTACTGAATGGTCAATAAACACTCGTTAATTGATTACATCGACGTTTTATCCCGTATCTAGCAGATGGTATACTATCAAACTAATAGAAAGGTTATTTTAAATGAAATTAGATAAGAATAATGAAAAAAAAAAGAAGATAAATGAATTAATGTAGTTTACTGATAAAGTGTAACTACAGATGTCGTTCATCATTACACTGGATCAGTTTAAACGGGAAGAGAGTAAACTACATGATTTATGATGTAATAAAGGAGATTAATGAATCGTTAAAACTGAATTGGAATACTTATCTTACTTACTTGGTTTGTTACACTTTGTAAGATTTTTATTAAGCACTAGAAATGTTTTTATGATTATTTAACTACAGTTACCATTATAGATCAATCAATGTTTAGGTAAGGGTTTTGTGGAGATTGTAGTGATATAATAGTTCAATTCATGAGTCGATTAAAGTCAGATCATCAAAGAAAGTCTGGAAACACTGAATGGCTATTTCGTCCTAGTGTGGGATACTTCAATAGTGTTCGTCCACGGTACCACTCGCGGGATCCGATCTCGCGCGTGAACGCTCCATCTCTAGACCACCGATCCAACCAGTATCCAACGGTGTTAATGTCCAACTTCAACCAATCCCTAAAATTTCACAACCGTTCATTATTGTATTTATTGAGTCAGTGCTTCACAACGGACTCCAATAGTCATGGCTTCTCACTAGAACTCCAGGAAATACATCTTAAAATCAGTCATTAGTGAGCGAATGATCAATTCTCTTAATTTTGTCAGCCATTTTAACAACAATTTGCGAATTTTCAATTTGTTTACATCCAGAACATTCTCAGTTATTCAGATCATATCCAAACTGTCTTATTATTGGTTAGATATTGTTTTAATGAGGAATTATTTCATTTGAAAGGTTTGTAATGATAAAAGTTAGATTTCATTACGAAGCAATATTAATTTTAAATTAAAAAGCTATTTATTTTTTGATTAAGATCATGAACCGATTGATGCTCGATCACAATTGAAAACCTGGAAGCAATGCACGGCCGTTTCGTTCTGTTGCTGGACTCCTCAGCAGTGACCAACCATGATCTCGCTTCGCGAGATTCGAACCCAGAACCTTCAGTCTTGCGCTCGGACGCTTAACTTCTAAACCACTGAGCCGGCCACCATCCAACGGTGTTAATGTTTAACCTCAACCAATCAACGAAGTTGAGCGACATCAGTCTCCACAACTCTATACTGATGTTTACTTTTTTCATGAGACTCCTCAGCAATAAATATTCATAAATCTGGCAATGATTGATAGCACCACAGCTAGGTCTTGTGGCAAATCTATTACATTTATCCTAATGGATTGACTAAAACTAGTTCATATCAGATCATGAGGCAGTCTAATGACATTAGTCAATAACTACTATATATTATCTTCACTACTCATCACTTCTCTTATGAACCTCAAGAATTCATATTCAACTCCGTTACTATTAAGCAGGGTTTTTTAGAAGGTAAGTCGAAGTTCAATTTACCTTTACTGAAGGAATCATATCGACAGTTTTTCACTAGTAACCAGAGGTTATAATTCAAGTTTGAATTAAGTCAGTGTAGAATAGTAAATCGAGATCAGGCTTTAAAAAAAATTATACTGTCTATTTTAAATAATTAATATTAGGTGGCAGTTATTATAAAGTAACTTAGGATAGTGAATCTTGAAACAGTCGCATGTGAATAACTTGTGACAATTGTCCCATTCTTTTACCAATAAAACTATAAACTCTAATTCAAAATGCATAAAAGTATCCGTTTGCATATGAGATTATAGACCAAAAGTCTTGGGTTCACATCTCGTGAGGCCAGATCGTGGATACCTACTGCTGAACATTCCCATATTAGGACAAAATAGTCGTCCAGTGTTTCTAGGTTTTCCATAATGGTCTAACTCACTGAAGACAATGTTGGATGTGTCGCTCAATAACATGGATTCGTTGAAGTTAAATATCATTAACACCGTTGGATGACGGCTAGCTCAGTAGTTTAAAAGTTAAGCGTTTACTCACGAGACAGATCGGTCCTGGATTAGAATCTCTCGAGGCGGGATCATGGATGCCTACTGCTTGTATCTTCCGATTGTTGTTTAGGATCGTAAATGATCAGTTTCTTGTTGTTATATGTGCATAATATAAGGAATACTTCGATATTGCCTTAATTCACAAGCATTATAAACAAAGATGGATAGTGGCTAACGATGGAATACAGAACATGTGTTTCGTCTTATTTGGGACTCGTCAGACGGATGTGCGTGAATCTCAGAGTTAATGTTCACTCTGGGACTCAAAACTAGCTCCCAATTAAAGCATTATCAAGGCAAAACACAAAGTATCCATATATGCCAACAGGAGATTCATCAATTAAAGCATTATATATCAATGGGAAGATTCAAGTAAGCGATATCAAATGAATTTATACTTAAACCCATTTCACAATCAGGTTGCTATCAGAACTCAGTAGCTAATTCGATATCGCGTTGATGTTTGAAGCGAATGGTTATGATTTCAAATCTCAATGTGAACACCAACTCTCAGATGCAAGCATATCCAGCTGACGAGTCCGAAATAGGAAGAAATGCGCGTTCTAGATTCCAACGCTAGCAACTACCTATCACTCATGAATTCAAGTATATCGAAAATACATTAAATTGTTTTTAAATGATGATTCGCTTAATTATATTAATCCGTTTGAGTATAATCACTTTAGTAAACAAATAAACACTTTACAAGTCAATCAAATTAAGTGTCATTTAAGTAAACAATAATATACTGTTAATAACTGGGATAAAACCTTCTCTTTATTGTAGAATTAGGAAAAGGCGTCGTTTTCTTTCTAGTCAAATTTTCAACTTTCTATGTAAATAGGATTGTGAAGATTGTTGAGTTTTGATTGAAATGATGAAAGCAACGGATAATTGTTTCGTCCTAGTATGAGACTCTTTAGTAGTGCCCACTCATGATTACGCATGCGGAATTCGAACCCATGACCTTCGGTCCCATGAGCAAACGCTTAATCTGTGGACTGTTGAGCTGTTGCCACTCCGCGCTGTTAATGTCTAACTTCTACCAATTTACAATATTGTCTGACTATCTTCCATTGTCTTCGATGGGTAACTGCTTCACTCAATTCAATAGTCGTTAGTTAACAAACTATCATTTCTAAATTCTATTACATTTACATTGAATGAGATTTCATTATCTTTAACAGAATCTCTACTGACAATTGTATTTGAAGTTGTTATTTAAACATAACAAAGCACATAAGAAATTCAACTTATCAATGATAGAATGATAAAGATTGCTTGTCATCCATATGTATATAGTTTATGTCTATTATGTAACTATCCATGTAAACAATACCATTCTAAACAAATCTATAGTCTATTTCAATATATTAACACTTAAACTACACTTAGAAAATGTCAAATGTTTGAATAAAATACTTGAAATATTATTGATTTATTTAAGGAATTACGTAATTATTAAGCCAATAACGAAACTTTCACTTAACTGCAAAATGATATCGCATGATTGATGAGATCGTAGAGATTGATTTAGTTTATGATCTGGTACGGCCGAAGGTGGGGAGAGTTCATAATGCCTACCAAAATGATCTCACATGGCTACGCGCATACAACCACTGATAGGGAAGTCCTACTCACTGCCTTCTCACGACTGGGATGTTGTTCACGAGACTGAGGGGACGAAAAATGAATGTCCGGTACTTTAACCGTGTGGATGGTTATAAAGAATCGAACTAGGGGAGTTGGGAAACCCTGATTCCAAATTAATAGTGCTCACAGGCTCCAGGATCCTGAGGGAACAAATGGCGTATCGTTGGTCACCGGCTACCATGGAACTACGTCCCTTGACGTCGCTCCACTTCCTTGTGGATCAGACATTCAGGTTGACGGCTCCGTGTGTGACCCCTCAAGAAAGGATTGTCTAGGACATGGTTGGATGAAGAGTTCTATTGGCCGGCCTATGCTCTTTCACGAGTAGTAACAGGCGTAAATAAGTATGTAAGTAAATAAGTTTTGTTGAAACCGAATTAGTTCAGAAGAACTCTAAGATAAATATACTGAAATTAGCAAGTTTTACTGTTATGAAATTTATGGTATTTCGGTAAAAGGCAAAAGGTATACAAAACTTAAGAACATCCTTATAATTTCTAATCATGTGTACAATCATATGATTATTCACAGTGTTTGTGTAAGAGATTTACATTCAATCTAATATATAGATTGAATGAATGTTCTAATGGAAGGTTTTTATGTATGAACTGAATTTATTTAAATGCACTAATCTCAATCGAACTTCTGCTTCTGGATATTAATTGATTACGACTACTAAATTGCCTGATTAATTTAACCAAAAATAAAATCCAAATAAGATAATCAGTCGGATAGTGGTGCAATTTCGTGTATTGGTTGAAGTTAGACATCATTAACACCGTTGTATGTTGGCCAGCTCAGTGGTTTAGAGGTCAAACGTTCTTACACGAGATCAAAAATCCTGGGTTGGAATTCCGCATGTGAGATTGTGGATGTGCATTACTGAAGTGTCCTATATTAGAACAAAACGGCCATCCAATGCTTCCAGATTTTTCATGATCATCGACCTTTATCAACTTATGAATTCAACCTTGGTTTTTTCTCATTATTCGCTTTATGTTTCAGTAAAATCTAATGTATGTCAAGCGAAAACTGGAAGTTAATTCAATTTCATAAATTAATAGTCAAGTAAACCAGTACATGTATTAAATCTTTTTGAGATTCAATCAATCCACAGTATTCTGACAATTTGACATGTGAATTAAAATAAACGAGGAATTGGTTTATTCAATTTAAAGATTAAATTAATTGAAAATTTCAGTGAATTTGTAACTAACCTCATCAATTGTTGCTAAGTGAAATGAAACATTAATCACATTGGACATAAACTTAATTGGTAATAAACACAGTATACACATATACCAATAAGAGACTAATCAATTACAGTGTTAAACATCAATCGGAAGATTCAATTAAACCATATCAAGTGAATTTAAACTTCATCCCATTGCACAATCTAATGGTTAACAGGACTCAGTAGATAAATAGATAATATGATGGTGTTTGAGGTGAACAGTACTGGGTTCAAGTCTCAGAGTGAACATCAACTCTTATATTCAAGTACATCCAGCTGACGAATCCGAAATTAGATGAAACCCGCATTTTTGGATTCCACTACTAACCACTATCTATCTTTGATAGTGATTTATAACATCCTCCTTTACCCGGGCTTGGGACCGGCAGTAACTCTAGAAGAGCTAAAGGCGGAGTTATCGAGTTTTGATACTTATGGTATTATTTCATATAGTTTAAAGTTCATTAATAATAAAAAAAAGAATATTATTATGTAACTATTGAAGTTATATACTTACCATTTTCCCATTTAATTCATGATAATGAATTGAGCAAACTTTTTCAGCTGCTTGTTCACTTTCAAATGTAACAAATCCAAAGCCTAAAAAACATAAAATGAGAAAATGGCCTACAATTAAATTATTAAATAACAAAAATCTGTCAGTATAAGGGTTGTGGAGATTATGAAGTTTTTTGATTGAGATCATGAACCGATTGATGTTAGACTACCGTTGGAAACCTGGAAGCACTGGATGGCCGTTTCGTCTTAGTATGGGACTACTCAGAAGTGCGCATCCACAACCCCTCCTCACAAGATTCGAACCCAGCATTTAACTATTAGACCACTGAGCCGGCATCCAGTGGTGTTAATGGATCGTGAATGCGAACTGCTGAGGAGTCCTACAGTAGGATGAAACGACCGTCCAGTGATTCCAGGTTTTTCATGGTGGTCCATCTTCAATTGGCTCATGATCTCAACTATTAAAATGAAACATTATTGTCAAATGATGAGTATATTGCAATGAAAATTTACTTTATACTATTTAAAAGCTCTGAAATAATATCCTTGAAATCGGCATTGGAAGACCAAGGACTATCAAACTACAGAATAGTATCACTGAATTAGAAGAGAGTAACGATATCTTTGATCAAGGTTGGTATGGTGTTTGAATGAACTAATGATACCTTTGTATTTGTTGAATGCTCGATTTCGAATGCCAAATACAATACATTCGTTTGTGCTTGTGTCTCACATCTTAATTCAATTGCGTTATATCTGGGACTCTTAATTCATACTCTAATTCAAATATTTTCAAACATTATAGTTGGTCAAGATTTTCTATCACTTGTCAAAACTAGTATAGGTAATTCTAGCAGTTAAAGATGTCAATACTGAACTTTTCAGCAACTATTTGATCCAGTTTAAAGAATTAGATTAACATCTATTTATATATAACCACAAATACATACAGATAATCTTGTAGTTTAGCAATCAGATAAGATTGAATATTAAAAATCCAATGGATAATTATCCGAAAACTGGAAAATATTTTTTTTTAAAGAAAAATTTAACTGAACTGAATAGATACATCATACCTCTTTACAGTTAGTCAGCCAGTCAGTCAGTAACAACGTAGAACTTCGTACGTACGTACATCAGTTCGATTTGCCACACCACATTAGCACACAGATACAGTTGTCGCCTCAGATTTCGTAGTGGTAGAGATAGTAAGAGTATACGCAGTAACCAGGAACATTAGGGTTTGCAGTTGTTATTCAAGGAGTATAATACAGTGAAATAAATTTGGAAAGAGAAAAAGAAAAAGGACATGAAAAGTTTAGAAGATTAGAATTTGGGAGAACACAAACAGTGAATGCACCTGCACCATTGCAAACGATTTTGAGCCATGTCATTCAGGGTCTCTAACCATTGGTTGCTATCATCTCGCGGTCCCCAACCAGGTAGTCTACACCTACCAATATGGCTTAGCCCACTTGTCAATGACTTCATGGATTTGTGCCATGTTTTTGTCTGGCCACCCCTCTTTACTGTTCCTCATTATTCTTTCCCGGGCTTCTGAGAAAAGACTTTGATTTGTTGCGGAGAGTGCTGAAGGTAGTAATAATAAATCACAAACTGATCTAAGTTAAACAATCATTGAAATGGCTATCTAATGCTTCCAGATTTATAGTGGTTACCTAACTTTATCTAATTTATTCGTGATTTTAATGAATTTCTGACTATCTCCACAACTTATACTAATATTACCCTTATTTTTCATGTTTTATATCAATTCCTTTTAAGCATAGCTAACCGTACTGACTGGTTTAACAAAGACAGAAACGAATTCCTTGCTAATCGATAGACTTAGAGCGAACACGATGAAAGGATAAAGTAATTTAAAAGCAAAACAAAGAATGGAAACATAAGTATTTTAAGAACTCAAGAGATAGACTACAAATTAGAGCAGTCATACTGTGGTTTGTACTACTGATATGGACAGATAATATAAGTAGTATATATTATCAATCGAGAGTGAAATGTCTGTCAACGGAAAGCTAATAATGAACAGACAATGATTGGTGTAGAAATGAAGGACACAATTGATTGATATTTTGCAAATGAAGTATTTGCTGAATAATTCTCATATTTTACTAAGTGATTATGCAATTTTGTGTTCAAATACAATCGATTGTCTCCACTTGTATTCTCGTTCACTATAATACAACGGGCAACTGTTAAATTATCAGTCGTTAATATCCGGTCCTCAAAACACGGAAATGAGTGTATTTTCTATTTAGTTGAGAGTTTCATATACATGGATTGTATATACATACAGACAGTAACATGAATTACTAGCAACTCGTGTAAATATCATTTCCTAAAGTGGACGATTATTCATCATGTTGTATTTTACAATGATTAATACATCTACGTAATTAATCAGAAAGGGGTTTTTATAGAGATTTTAGTAATTTTAGAGGTTAAATTCATGAATCGATTAAAGCTAGACCACCTTTGGAAAACTTGAAAACACTGGACGGCCGTTTCTTCCTATTGTAAGACTCCTCAGCAGTACGCATCTACGATTCCGATCGCGGGATTCGAATCCAGGACCTATCAGTTTAGCGCGCGAACGCTTAAACTCTAGACCACTGAGTGGTCATCCAACGGTGTTAGTGTTAGTTCCACAATAGGACGAAACGGTCGTTCAGTGCCTTCAGGTTTTCAATGGTGGTCTAACATCAACCGGTTCATGATCTCAATAAATAAAGAAACTTAATAATCTTCTGATGTGTAGGTGTGAATGATAATCATTGGTTGTTTGCTTAGTCAGACGTGTAGATAGTCTGACAAGAGTCAGATGAGTTATATGTTCCTTTATCCTTGTTATTATTATGACGCACTTATTATTGATTGTTCATTGTTGTTGGATTGTGTCGGGTAATTGGTTTTATTTATTTCATTTTAACACATAGATATTGGATACAAGGAGGCACCAAATACATATGCTCCACACAAATCTCATTTGATATGTGTGAGGGCTGTGGTACTGCCCAGGTGCCAAGACCGAAGCAGGTGGTTTTCTTAGGGGGCCACATCCGAAGCCTTCGACCTGAAGGTCTGTTCCACAAGGCAGTAGAGCAACGTAAGGAGATGTAGTCATATGATAGCCGGTGACCAACGATCGGTTTATACGCCATTTGTTCCTTCAGGATACTGAGGCCCATGTGCATCATTGGTTTGGAGTCAGGGTTTTCCAACTCCCCTAGGTGGACTCTCCATGTTCACCAACCCGGTTAAAGCGCCGGAGATTCGCTTTTCATCCTCTCAATTTTGTAAACAACACCCTCGCCACGAGAAGGCAGTAAGTAGGACTTCCCTGGTAGAATCTATATACGCGTGGCCATGTGAGAGCATTTCCAGCAGGAGAGCGAACTCTCCTCACTCTCGGTCGTACCAGGGCATTTGGGGGCGTATTTGGTGTGGAAATATATTTACGTTGTGGTCAGGCTAATCACATGTTCTTGATCTGAGTTATGTTGACGTTCTGGAAACTGGGAGGGGAATCTAGTATAGATATTCGTCTAAGGTAAATCAAGTCCCATATGTGTAAACGTGGAAGCCTAACCGTTATAACATTAGACAAAGTAAAACATGAGCCTTATAACATCTCCACAACCTTATACACATAATCTAGTATTTGTCCAAGAATTTAATGTACAATAAAGTGATTTGATATTAATACCATGGACACTAATTCAATTAGTTTTTTGTTTGTTTTTCAAATAAGTTTAAATAAACTGATTTATATATTTCAATAACAAAAAATTTTTTTTTGATTTATGCAATAAATATGAGGTCAAGGTAAACCCGTTAGAAACAAAATATAGAGACACAAGTTAAATAATGATGAATTTCGAGTTGTTTATCTATGGGTATGTACGCGTATGTGTGTGCGTGTGTGCCTGTATGTGTGTGTGTGTGTGAATTGTACTTCAACTTCATAAATGTATCAACACTAATCTTAAATCTTAAAATAACTCCAATAAACAAACAAACAAACAAACAAACATTGAATTAACTCCACCTAGTGAGTATTTCATAGTTGAATGTAGACTGATTGAAAGGGACAATGAAAAATTGGAAACTATTGTAATTGATTAATTTGATGAAATTTTATGATAAGTAGTAGTAGTATTCATCAATTGTATATATGAATAAATCATTCAGAGGAATTCGTTAATTCTACTTATTTATTCATTCGAACACATAAACATTGATACAAAGAGGCACCAAACATAATAACAATGAAGCCAGTAGTAGTTATCACTGATTTGTGTGAGGGCTGTACTACTGGTCGGATGACTGAAGCGAACTAGGTTAGGAGATCAAACCACAACTCTTTCACCTAAACGTCTAATCCACAAGGAAGTGGAACAACGTATAGAGTTGTAGACCGATGGGGGCTGGTAACCAACAATACGTTCATACGCCATTCATTCCCTCAATATCATGCAGTGCATGTTGATCATTGGTTTGGAATCAGGGTATTCCAACTTCCTTAGATAGATCCTCTATATCCACCAACCCAATTAAGGCACCGGATATTCACTTTTTATCCTCTTACTTACATAAATAATATTCCTTCTGAGAGAATGTAGTGAGTAGGACTTCCCTATCAGTGGTTATGTATGCGTGACTATGTGAGAGCATTTCGTGAGGGAGAGCCGACTCTCCTCACTCTCAACCGTACCAGGGCATTCGAAGGCAATTTCTTAAGTTCTATAAAGAGCTTTTGAAATATAGTAGACAATTTTATACGATACATAGTTTGGCGAAACAAAATTAGCTGAATAATGTACAAAAATGGTAATGTAACTACAAAAAGAGGGAAAGAGCGAGAACACATCTCAGTGTTAGATTAATCAGTACTGAATTGTATATACTTCCGGTTTTTCTATCATTTTTTAGGTTGTTTTACTTCTTTTTTATCTCATCCGATAAATTAGGTATAATTCTAACCAGAATAATGAATGTATTACAGTCAAAATTGAACAAAAGATTAGCCATTGTTACTATGGACAAAGTAAAAAGATTTGCATCATGAACATTGAGGTAAACAAGAATAGTACTAAAGATTCATGAGTACGTTTTTTTGTTTGTCTACAATAACATAAACGTTTATAAGTATAAACCTCAAGCTGTTGAAGTGATGTCTGTTTGTTACATTTTCTTTGCTCGACTATCTTCACCAAACATTTCATGTAATCGTAAACAAACATGGATAGTGGTTATCAGGGGAATCCAGGACGCGTGTTTCGTTCTACATGGAACTCGTCGGTTTTATGTGCCTGCACCTCAGAGATCATGTTCAGCCTGGGACTCGAACCCAGTACCGTTCACTTCAAACGCGATCACGTTATCTACTTAACTACTAAATCCTGATAGCCGAAATAGGACGAAACCCGCCTCCTGGATTCCACTGCTAGCCACTATCCATCATTGCTTAGAATGTTTATGAATTAAGGTGATATCAAGGCAATACACACAGTATACACATATGCCACTAAGAGATTAGTCAATTGCAGTAGTAAACATCAATGGGGAGATTCAAGTAAATAATACCAAGTGAATTTCACGTAACTGTTAGAACTCACGTGGAAAAAGGAATTCCTAGGATTTTACTGATAAGCCATAATCAATGGAGTTCAGTCATGTAAGGTGTGATAGTGGTACCAATGTGGGTGACTACATGCAATTGAAAATATGAACCAGTGCAAGTCAAAACAATGACCGTAGAATTGAGTGCTCCAGTAGAAGCTTAAGTGTTCTCGGATCACATACCTAATAGGTTCGTGACTGTACCATGCTGTTTCACATACTATAATATAAGAGCTTTTCCTGTTTTACCTGATTTTCCTGTATGTCAACTTCAAGTTGAATAACCTCCTGACGGAAGTGACACTACATAACGACAATAATTATTATTGAAAACTAGTTAGCAACAACGGTTCTGGATAAATATGTGGTTGTATTTGAGACTTATTAAATTTTCTATTTCTTATAGATAGTGATTATATTTGGTGATTACATTACTTACATAAACTTTAATGTAAGTAGTTTATTGAATACAGGTATTGTTATCGTTTGCGTAAGCACTAGTGATAATATTCGGGTATCGAAACTCAAGTTGCAGTACATTTACTGGAATATACCAGCTACAATTTTATAAGACGGGTAAAATAATCCCTAAGTCTGGTCTAGAAAGTCATAGTGAAGTCCTGTAGAAAAGTTGTGAACAAGTGACTTAATACTGTTTCTTTTTTTGAATTCAATTTCAATAAGAATCCATTTATGTGTTAATTTCTAACAGTTTTTTGAATTTAAGCACAGATAGATGGTGACTAATAGTAGAACATAAGACGAGTATTATATCCTATTTGAGACTTGTCACTAAGATGTATTTGCATCTCAGAGTTGGTATACATTCCAAAACACAAATCTAGTACCGTTCACTGTAAACATCATCACATTATCCACTTAACTACTGAGTTCAAATAACCATTAGCTAAGTGGATAACACGATAAGGTTTAGAGTGAATGGTACTGAGTTCGAGTCTCAGAGTAAACATCAACACATGTATTTACATCTAGATAACGAGTCTTAAATGGAAAGAAACGCAAATCTTGGATTCCATTTCTAGCCACCATCCTGTCAGCATTTTAAATCGCCTAAAATATTCTAGATTAGCGGCTAATCTTGATTACCATAAACTGTTTACTGTTCATATTTCTGCTTGAATAAAAACAAAATCTTTATGTATTCATGCCCTTTTGGGGGGGATGGTGATATTCGCTTTAACTACCCACGTATTATCTTCAAACTGTTTAAAGCAATATTGACTACTTTCAACTATATATCCATCTATCTACTTATATATCCAACTGTTCAATATGAGTGAATATAAACTATTCTACCTTCAGGTTATAGGTCAAAAGTTCACTTCCTTCAATCAGTCATAAACAATTGTCGTGATTACATTTTTCCTTACTTGTCGTCGTTTGTTTTTTTTTGTTGTACCCTAATTACCGCCCTTTTTTCTTAGTTTTAAAAAGCAAACACGCATAATTAATAAGTTATCAAGTTGTATTGTACATAACTTTGATCTATGTGGAATTCTATCCAATATAATATGTCTTATCATTGTTATTTGTCTTTGTGCCTGATAGCTAGTTGTTCTTTTTGTTTGTTCATAACAATTTGTGACCCCTTTGGTTTCAACTGACCTCCTTTTTTGTATTTCTTTTCATCTTTCTTTTTTCTTTCGGTTTATGATTAATCGTTTAAGTATAATTCAGTAGTATAATGAGTAGTTAGAATTAGAATAACATTGATAAATATATAGAGCTATCTATATATATAACTGAATTTGAATGAGATAGAAATGTAGAGTATATCTATTCAAATCTCTTTTGAGCCATACCACTACTTGGAATGTCAGACACTAACACCATTGGATGCCGGCTCAGTGGTCTAGTTGGTTAAGCGCCTGGTGTGAGACTAATAGGTCCTGGGTTCGAATCTCGCGGGGAGCGGGATCGTGGATGCGCACTGCTGAGGAGTCCCATACTAGGACGAAACGGTCGTCCATTGCTTCCAGGTTTCCAACGGTGGTCTAACATCAATTGGTTCATGTTCTCAATCAAATAACTTAACATTCTCCACAACCCCCATACTGATAATTAAACTTCATTATTAGATTACCAAAAGTAACGATCTAAGCATTATAGTATCTGATTCTGTCATCATCTCCTGGGTTGTAGCTGTTCATTACGGATAAGTTCCATAATAGTTCGGGATAGGTATCCAGTCATAAATGAATTTTCTTGAGTAATTTGACAATATTGAAAAAGAAAACGACTCATACCATTAATTAAAATAAAACTAACCTCGATGACGACTTGTTGCTTTGTCCATCATTAATTCACATGTTTCCACCTAAAGTTAAATAAACACAAAAATTGTATTGTATCTGAGATAAGCAAGTGTTTTTACTTAAGAACACGTACATAGTTTGTAGAGCACAGTGTTTATTGTAAAGCGGAGAGATTATAATTTATGGACGAACCAATCAGGTGTAAGATCAAAGGTGTTGGATAGCGTTTTGGTATTATAGCTGATGTCAGTTCCTGATGGAAACTTTAAATCTAGTTCTTAACCTTAACCATCAACTGTTAATCGTAATTCTAATTCTCCACAGTGGTTTATAACCCACATTTGGTTCTATTTATTAGGTAAACACTCTCAAGGTCACCGTAGCGTCGCTCAAACTTTATAGATGGTGGTTATATGCTCCCAAATGCCCTGGTACGCTCGAAGGTAGGGAGAGTCAGCTCCACCTCCCGAAATGCTCTCATATGGTCACGCGTATATAACCACTCACAGGGAAGTCCTACTCACTACATTCTCGCAGAAGGAATGTTATTTACGAAATTAAGAGCATGAAAAGCGAATATCCGATGCCTGAATTGGGTTGATGGATATAGAGGATCTATCTAAGGGAGTTGGAATACCCTGATTCCAAACCAATGATCAACATGCACTCCATGATGTTGAGGGAATGAATGGCGTACGAACGTATTGTTGGTCACCAGCTCCCATGAGTCTGTAACTCTTTACGTTGCTGTACTGTCCTTGTGGATTAGACGTTTAGGTGAAAGAGTTGTGGTGTGATCTCTTAACCTAAGAAAACCACGTGGATTGGTTTGGTCACCCTGGCAGCATGATAGCTCTCACACAAATCAATAATCACTACCGGCCTCATTGCTATTATGTGATTCATACGTGTTTGGTGCCTCCTTGTTCCAACGTTTATGTTTTCAAATAAACAAATTAATGTTTATAAACTTGACTGAAGTATTTATCAAATTAAGCTAATGATATGATCAGAAGTCAAGCAAATGACAATGTGAACATGAATAAAAGAACAAATGAAACAATAAAAATACCTATGAAGTCGTTTATATTACTGCTAAGGCGAAATTCAATAAACGATTACTGTGTTACCGCTATCAGTTCTTAGTTGAATATACATCCGAAAATATCATATGATAAGGTATTGAGTTTCACATTCTTTACAAAATTCTACTTATTGACTAACGCGATTTAAGTCGATGATTATATACGAGGATAGGTGACATATATACTTCAATAACAATCATTCATACGATCTAATTACAGTCAGATCTCAGGCCACTAAAGTGATGAGCCCGTCAACAAACATCGTCCGATCAAAATGACGACAAAACAAAAGGCCTTACTAAAAACTATCCATGACACTTCTGAGGAACCTCTTATCACGATGGCTATTTCATTTGAATAATTGATCATTTACAAGGTTTTTTTACTAAAATTTCCGACTATTTAAACAAACATCTAATAATTTGTGTAGGTTAGAATAACTTCAACTTAATAGAGAAATTCTATCATGAACTGTTGAAGTTCTAGAAAGTCTTAGACAACTGTTGTCTCTATCGATTTTTCTTGTCTTTTTTAAAGGATTTCTCATTTATTTAGACTATTAAATTGAACAAGACAGTTATCTTTTTATTTCTATTTTTAGCTTATCTGATTAAATTAGGTTTAATCCCCTTTTTTGTTTGGAATAAGACAGTAGTTATTCACTGTTAGGGATTAGAATGAAAAAAAGATGAAAAAGGTACACTGTTTAACCTGTTTTTCGACTACCGTTGGATGACGGCCCGTTCATTGGTCTAGAGTCTAGGCGTTTACTTGCGAGACCAATAGGTTCTAGGTCCGAATCTCGCGAGGCGGAATCGTGGATGCGCACTGCTTAGAAGTCCCAAACTAGAACGAAACGGCCGTCTAATGCTTCTAGGTTTTTCATGGTGGTCTACCTTCAATTAACTCATGAACTCAATTAATAAAATACTATAATATGCACAAAAATAATTGTAGAATCCTCATAAATAGGATCATAAATTAATCTTATCTAGACTAACATTGATTATACAACTTCGGGAGATGAAGTGAGATGTGACCAGAGGAGTTCAGTCTTGTTGGATGTAAGACTGTTTTCCATTTCAAGCAAAGGATAAGGATTGCACAGTATCGTGAATTAATTTAAGTTAAACTTTTACACCATTGGGTGTTGACTCAGTAATCTGCAGGTTAAGCTTTTGGCATGAGACCGAAGGTCTTGGGTGCGATTACTGATGTTGAAGTTGTGAATGAGCATTGATGGAGAGTACTGTGTGAAACGATTGTCTAGTGGTACCAGGTTTTCAGTGCTGGTCTAGATAAGATTAGTTTGTGATTTAAACTATGACGATAAATAATAACAGATTTGTTCAACATAGTAACTGGTAGACTAAATAAATACACAAAAATGTTGTTCTTATTAAGAAACTCAAATGGTAGTTTTTATGATCTCGAGTGTGTATATCAGAAAGATCGATAACGACTGATGATCGTGAAATAAAGGATAGATATCGTAGAAAGATGAAATAAAGAAGGTGAGATGAACTGTGATCACAAAGAGTATGAGATCTAAATTTTCAAAAATAAATACTATTAAACGTAAACTCATTGTAATACTATGAGGATTCATACAGCAGTTGAGATATATTCTTCATATTGAGCGGAAAAAAGTGGTGATATGACGGGCATGCCCCACCTGGAGCCCCTCTTCGGCTATTGCCGGTCCCAAGCCCGGATAAAGGAGAAGGGTTGAGCATGAGATTAACGACCCCATCCCATAAAAAACTAGCTCACTAAAAAAACGCTATCCAGTAAGTAATGACAGGTATATACACAGTATTTCAAGCCGAAATTCCTCATAATGTCAGTGATTAAAGCAGAAACAATTTCAAAGTTTCATAAAGAACTCTAGTCCAAACAGGTACAACCAGAAATGTACATCGAAATTGTTATAGATATGTTTGAAGAGGGTATATGAATCTATTGTTGCACTCTGAGCTGAATGGTTCGATTGTCCATCGATAAAAATCATCTACCTGAGCTACAAATCTTCTCCACGGTCTGTTGTTACAAATTATGTACAAAATGAGTAATCTGACATTGTTAGAAATATTTCAGTTTCAGTGATACACTTAACGGATAAGTCTTAATCAAAGCCCATTGTTTGTACTGCATATATACACTATAGAGACAGTAACCCGTACACTTACTATATTGGCATTAAAGTTTATAAAAAACATAAATGCTAAAGAAGATATTTTTCTTCCACCTTTCAAAACTTCAGAAAACCCATAGCATCAATATCCAAAACTCATCAATAATTGCAAATAATCCTTTTAATATTAGAAAGGGGTTTTTGGATATTATAGTCATTTTAATAGTTGAGATCATGAAGTTAGACCACTATGGAAAACCTGGAACCACTGATAAATCCTAGGTTTAAATCTCATAAGCTGGGATCGTAGATGCGGACTGATGAACAGCCTCACAATAAGACAAAATGGCCGTCCAGTGTTTCCAGGTTTTTCGGAATGGTCTAGCTTCAATTGACTCATGATCTCAACTACTAAAATTAATCCTTTTAATTCAAATCATGAACCGATTAATGTTAGACCACAACTGAAAACCTGGAAGCAATGGATGTTCGTTTCGTCCTATCTCAATCAAAAACTTAACAATCTCCACAACCCCATACTGATAATTACCATGTGCTCACTAGAGTCTAGCTTCGTGAGAAAATTCTCGGAGTTCTAATGAGAAGCCGTGACCAGTGGAGCTAATCCGTGTCAGGTAGAGACAGGTGTCTACCTCAGTACAATGGAAGATGGTCGCGCAATTTGGTGGATTGGTTGAGGATAGACATTAGCAGTGTTGGATGCTGGCAGGCTCAGTGGTTTATAAATGAGGCGTCCGCGTGTGAGACCGACGGCCCTGGGTTCGAATCATGAGAACGGGATCGTGGATGTGCACTGCTGAGGAGTCCCATATTAGGACGAAACGACCGTCCAGTGCTTCCAGATTTTTCCATAATTGTCTAGCTTCAAATGACTCATGATTTCAACCAGTGAAATCTCTTACATAATAAATAAGTCTATTTCAGAAATGCTTAGCCAACTTATTAATCAATTGTAATATACTTTACTATTTCATTTTGTTCACAACATAATTATGTAATTCATAATATAGATGACAACTGTTTTGTAATAACAATCAAAATGTATTATGATGTTATATATTGTAAGATTAAAATAGAAATATCATAGGGGTTAGTATAGACATTTTTTCTTTTTTTGTCATGTTTTATTTTCGTCTATTTATTTGTTTGTTTGGCGTAACCACAGATACTTACATACATTAAACATTTTATGTTGCGTGTGTGTATATATGTGTGTGTGGGTGTGTGTGTACGAGTTGTCGGAAATAACTAGAAATGTAGATCAGTGACAGATAAACACTGTTGGAAAACATTTTTCTAATATTTTAGAATAGTTGGTTAAGCGCTTGGCGCGAGACCGATAGGTCCTGGGTTCGAATCTCATTAGGCTGGGTGAGGAATCGTGGATGTGCACTGCTGAAGAGTTGTATACTACGAAGAAACGGCCGTCCAGTACATCCAGGTTTTCCATGGTGATCTAGCTTCAATTGACTCATGATTTCAATCTGTGAAATTTCTAAAATCTCCACAAACCCCTTCTGATAATATTTTAAAATAGTTAGAAATGAACTGTTATTATGGAACAAGGAGCATTGGATGCAGACGTAAAGGCGAGGATTGGCAAAGTAAATGTATCGTTCTTACAATTCCAGAACATATGGAACTTAAAATAATTGTCAACCAATATCAAAGTCAGAATCTTCAAGATGAATGTCAAGACAGTTCCACTGTCCGCAGCTGAAACATGGGGAACTACTAAAACGATCATTAATTGTCTATACAAGATAGTCATTGTCCGTTGACGGAATACCATCAGCAACAACCTACTATAAGAAAGAACAAA